TTTCTTTATCTAGTCCATCTAATCAGGATTAGGTTATCAAAAGTAAATCTGACATTCCAGAACAGAGCCAAACCCAAACCCAAGTTTTTTGCCTTCTGTTGGTGATACCCATGGGACGATAACCATGTTTAAGGTAGTCTGCGGTTCAGAAAAGTCAAGGTTTTAAAACTGTCAAACTTTTCAGCAATACCGTTCCTAAAGGATGAGTAAGATTTTTTATTTACATTTTTAAAAATATTTAGGGCAACAGTAGCTCCAGCAGAAAAGATCTCTAAAAATGCTGTTTTAAATAAAAAAAAAACAATGTTTTTAAAAAAAATGAAAACAGCAGAAGTCAATAATTCATTTGCATTATTTAGCCTGAAACGTTTCATATTGTATACAAAGGGGAAAAAAGGTTTTGTTTTTTACTTAAACATTTAAAAACAAGATATTGTAGAGCAGTAATCTCAATATCTTGATACTGTGATATTTATATCCAAGGTAATCATACCGTCAGAATCTTATACCTAAATGGTTAAAACCATTAACACCATAAACATCATTTTAAAGGTTAATTACATCCATCAATAAGCAAACAGTGTTCACTTTAATAGTAATTCCAATTTTTGGGCCACAAACAAGAACAAAAACCGATTAAAAATGTACCTTCCTCATTTTGCTGTTATCGAGATCTCGAATGAAATGTAAATGTCTGCAGGTGAGTTTAATCAGTTACCAATCGGTGGATTTGAGAACAAAAATGTCATTGTTTGAGGGTTACATTAGACCAAGAAAAACCATTTCTTCTTTACACACGTCACAGGGTTATTGGGTTAAAATAACACACATCAAGGAAGTGTTTGTGTGCATGAGAGTGCGGGAGAGAAACATGAAGAGCGAGAGATCAGTGCCTTCAAGGTCAAATGAGTGCTGAGTGCCATGTGACATTCGTTTTAGTGTGGCATTGATTTCTCACCCCTCTCTTCCCTTAGGCTAAGAAACAAGAGACCCTATGCCTCTGTCTTTCTCTCGCTCTGGCCTATAACACACTCACACACACAATGGTTGGTCAAGGTTAGTGTGGAAAAGCCAATTCCTCTCTGAAACAGGGCTCTCTGTGCGACTGCCAGTTTGCTATCAAATGTGTGTGCAATATTAGGACTGGAATCCGCTGAGCTGCAATGTTTTAGAAAAGGATTTTGGGCACACAGAAGTATTTGTGTGTGTGTGTGTGTGTGTGTGTGTGTGTGTGTGTGTGTGTGTGTGTGTGTGTATGTTGGCATGTTGACCTAAAGGTGAAGCTGAGCTGTCAGCGGTGTCCATTTCTGCCTTGCGCACACTTCACAAAAGCTTCATTAATCCAAGACTAACAGAGAGCAGTCTGTGCGTTCGCTACCATAAAAGTACGCAACAGACCTTTTGTTTATCTGCCTTCAAAGTCGATGCAAAATGAGTAATGACAGACCTATGGAACAAAAAAAACAAAAAAAAAAACAATACAGTTGGGGGTTGCGCTCTGAGGCTCTTTACAAAACACTTTGTGCTCGCCGAAGGCAATAGGACTAGAAAAAAAAGTCAAGACAAAGAGTATGGTGGTGGGTTTGAATTCTACTAATGGTGTTTGTAAAAGAGCCATGTGTGCTGCAGAGACAACACAGTTGTTGACTGACAATGTGTCGGTGTGCTATCATCGCTGCTTTCTTCTCCCCTGCAGTTTGGGAGATAAATAATTAATTGGAGGTGCATGTTGTTGATTAAGACCTTTACTAACATGTGCTGTCAGACTGAGCCCAATGTGTTGATCCGATTCATCACACAGGTTGAAGACTTACACTAGATACTGGTGACGTAAATACATTTATTATACAGGACAATAAAAGAGACAGACTACTGGAGCTCTTGCTTAATGTTAATCACATCACGTTTGAAAGAGGAAAGAACAAACAGGATGGTGCAACTTTTTGCTTTTGCATGCAAGTTTAAAAGGGAAATATTTAAAATGTCTAAGACTGTGGTTGGTAAGAAAATGGTGCAATGTATAGGGTAGGCACTAGGCAGCAATAAAAAGGAACTCAGATTCAATGCATTATATGTTAGTAGGCTATGCATTAGGTCTGAACAATATATTGCTCCGACATCAATATCACAATCTGAAATTGTCACATGACACATTTAGATTGTTCATTAAAGATTAAAAGATAAAGATATTATTAAATGAAAATTTTCAAACTATTTATACAGGGATGACCATGTTATTTCAGCTTCGTACTGGAAGGTTGCTAGACTCCCATGAAAATTAAAAAACACTGTTTATTCTTTTATTTTTGCAAGCAATTTATTATAATTTATGCAGATGCACTGCATAGAAAAAGACTTAATCATCCCAGTCGATCTAAATAAACATACTCTTTCTAAATAGAGCTGTTCAAATCCTCTGGTGAAATAATTTTTATCTCACCGTATATATTGCAGCAAGAAAAATATTACAACGTCAGATTTCTCCAATATTGTGCAGCTCTAATATGCGCAATATAGCAGTAACCATACTGGTATTGAGCCAATGTTTTTTAAAGAACAGTGACAATATTAGTATATTTTTAGTTAGTTTTGTATCATCAATATCATTTTTATATATGAAGCACTCAGAACATTTAATCAAAATGATCTCTAACATTCAAGAACACGTGAATTGGATGCTTGCTCGTACAATATTCAAGATAATGTCTGTACGGTAATATAAATATGTCATGAATAGAAAGAAGACTGATTCAAAAGTACAACCATAGAGCCAGATATAAAGTTCATTCATTCATTTTGCTTAAGCTTAGTCCCTTTATTGAACAAGTGTTGCCACAGCAGAATGAACCATCAACTTATCTTAATTTTTTTATATAGTGGATGTACTATATAAAAGTAGCTGCAACCCAGTACTGAGAAACATCCATTACACACTCATTCATACATCCACTCTTATACACTATGGCCAATTTAATTTATTCAATTCACCTATAGAGCATATCTATGGACAGTGGGGGAAACCGGAGCACCTGGAGAAAACCCACGCAAAGACGGGGAGAACATGCAAACTCCACATAGAAATGCCAAATGACCCAGGACTTGAACCAGTGACCTTCTTGCTGTGAGGTGATAGTGCTGACAACTGAGCCACAGTGTCGCCCCCAGATATAATAAAGCTATCATAACCATGTAATATTAATTACCTCATACTGTATGTCGACAAGATGCCAGGGAGTTGCTGAGTTTGTGCAAACGTATACATATCGATATGATCAGATGCTTCTAAAAATGTTAGTTCACCTAAAAACTAAAAATGATGTTATTTATTATTCACTCTCACGTCCATCCAATCCCAGAATTCCCTCATCCTTCATGAACAGGAATGGTCATGAGACATTCAGAGTCCAGAAAAGGAACCAAAAGCATTGCCTTGCTTAGCATTATTACAGGTTGCATGATTACAGTCACATGAAATGTTTTGAAAATATTTTTGGTTCCTTTTCTGGACCTTGACTGTTTAAAGACTGTTCCTGTCTATGGAGAATGAGAGAGCTTTCAATTTTTAATCAGATTTACCTTTATTTTGTTATATTTACAATTTCATCCAGACATCAGACATCAACATTCTTTTCCAGCTTGTATTTCCTTCCACCAGTCACCAGTTTTGCTAATAACAAGAGTTTCTAAATTTGGCATACTTCCTTGTATATGTCATTTCTTGGCAATCATAAAAAATCATCAGCTTTATCAACATTATGCATAAACCATCAAAACTAATAAGCTTGCATTATGGAGTTAATTTAATATGTGGCTTCATAGTTCTGGGCCACTAATTATCAGTGTCTAGTCCAATTTTGGTGCATGTATAATCTTAAATATGAAACAACTATAAAACAATGAATGCTATCGCAAAAAAATGCAATTATTATTACCTGGGCTTAAAACCCCACCATAAGTGCATCACTCAACAGCTTGCAAATGTTCCCTTCATACTGAGTATATGCCTTGTAAATATGCAAGTTCTTAGTTGTGAAAATATTAAAAACAAACACAGCAAGAACAATAACCACCACATCTTACATCCAGCCAACAGATATCTCTCATGCTCTGTTTTGAAGACTGGATTGAGAGATGGTGGATGCTTGGGTAAATATTGTAACAGAGATAATTGTGTAGTCTGCTCCTTTTGTAATGACAGATAATGCTTTCGAAAAACAGGTCAAGCTGTTTTAGAAATTATTTCAAGCTATAATAGGCCTATTTTATGCGTATGGTTTTAGATGGGAATGAATATGATTCCATTAGTCTCAGTAACTATGGAAACCACGCACATCCAACTCAGTTTATCAACCACTTTTCATATCGTATCATGTGAAAAATATATTTACGTCAAGACTAGTTTGTTTATATCTCTTAATCTCAGAACTTGAAAAACAAGACGGTACAGTGGGTCAACACTCACTTTGACGTTAAAAAAAATGTATTCACGTAAAAAACATGTACATTTTACAGTATGGAGGATCAGGAGCGGGAAGGAGTTGTCGGTCTGGTCTTTCTGTATGTGTTTACATAACTTTATGGCAGTGTATTCTCTGAAACATGTCGCCAAGTACAGCTGCTGTTGCTGCTGCTTCCGCGTATCTGAAAAGCGTTAACTTAGTCGAATAAAGTGAAACAATGTATTTAGTTTCTTTTCTTCCCTTAAATTTGAATGTGAACACACATATCAAACATTTAAAGGACTTCCTGTCCAAATAAATGGTATCTAATCTCTAGTTACCGAGTGTGTCTCGAATTGTTTCAGTAATGGATTTGTTGAAAAAGTGTGTCGCTGGATTCGCAGGCAAAACATCGAAAATGCGACAAAATCTATTGGTCGCTGGAGGACAACGTGGACGCTTCAAGTTTTACATGTATGTCTCTACGCGACCGATGGGCGGATTGATACAAACACCTACAAACCCCGCTAAAAGTGGAAAAGTTGTAAATATAAAACTTACCAGCTTCAGAGTCCGCGAGGTTTCAATAGCTCGTGCAGTGCAGTGCTGTTTTAAGTTGAGAGCAGATTCAGCAGAATGAGCAGAGCAGCGTGTTTGAGGAAGTATTTACCCGCTCACAGTGCCTGTCTGGGGTGACAATACTGGAGGAGGAGTGACGTCGGGCAGGTAGAGAGGGAGGGAGGGAGAGAGAGAGAGAATGATGTTGATGTTCCTATATAATAATCCATACTCATGGATCAATAATCCACTACAAATTATCTATCTATCTATCTATCTATCTATCTATCTATCTATCTATCTATCTATCTATCTATCTATCTATCTATCTATCTATCTATCTATCTATCTATCTATATATCTATCTATCTATCTATCTATCTATCTATCTATCTATTTTTAAATAATAAATTTAGTGCCAAAGTATTTAAAAAACTACATTAAAATAACATACATGTATTTAAAAAAATGTAATAGCCTACATATAGATATAATACATATCCATCTATTTATCTATCTATCCGATTTTGTTTTTTCTTATTAAAAGGTATAGGCTCTTTGGGTGTCTTTCCATGATAATTATTATATCATAGTTAAAAACTAATCAGATAATCAGTTATGGCTACTTATTTTATGCTGGAGGAAATGTGTTTGCACTTGTTAAACCTCTCATTTAAACCCCCTTGGACTGATTTATATGGCCATTAGGTGAATGATCAGGTGGTTTCGTTTCCTGAAGGCAGGACATTCCTGACGGAAACCTTAGCTTTGGGAACTCCATTCAGGCCCGCCCCATACACCTACACAAGGACTGGAAATGGACATAACACACACGTACGCACACACACCAAAGACTCTCTCTCTCTCTCTCTCTCTCTCACACACACACACACACACACACACACACACACACACACACACACACACACACACACACACACACACACACACACACACATACACACACACACACACACACACACACACACAAAAGAAGCAACAGTCACATGGTGCTGAGTCACAGACTGCCCCACCCCTACAATCTAGGTCTGTCAGTACTTTATAAAGCTCTGAGTTTCTGGGTTTCTATTTTTAGTATCATTTCCAACAACTGTCTGTTCACCGAAACAGTTTATGTTTAACAAATTTAGAGCATAGACTGAAATCCAACAGCTACAGTCATTATAGAAAGTTCTGTGAAACACTGAAGACTTACTGTACAAAATTATGATGAATGGTTTCACTTCTCTTCTGCTTCATAGAACTGCTTCTTGCTAGTATTTTCTTTTCTTCTCCTTTACTGTTTCTCTTTCCTGCTTATATTTTATCTCTGCTCTTCGTTTTAGTATCACCCCTTTTAGATTATCAGTCTTGCCTCACTTCTCTATGATATTTTTCCTTCATCTTTTTTTTTGTTTGTTTTAGAGCATCTATCTTAGTTTGTTTAAAACGATGCCTTAAGAAAATACTTTTTAATAGACAACCATCTTGCTATAAATAAAGTGTTGTTTTTCATCAAAATGTAAAGCATATACAGTGCTCAGTATAAGTGAGTACGGCCCATTTTGAAAATGAATATTTTATCCATTTCTCAGTTAATATAGTCAATGCATTTTGGTGCATTTACACAAAACAGATTTATTAAACATATTTATTTATTTGAAAAATTCTTCAGTGTTTGGGGTTTATTTCTTAACTATCGGGATGGGCAAATCAGCCACTCAACCTCTGACGATTCTTCAGAGACTTAATTTACTTATTTTACATATCTAATTATTTAATTTTACTTCTTTATTTTATTTTCTGTTGTCATTTGCTTTATGGGATTTGTCCGAGACAGTGCCAAGTGTTGTGTGTGTTTGTGTGTGTGTGTGTGTGTGTGTGTGTTTGTATGTTTCTTTGTGGTTGTTCTTGAAAAACCCAATAAAATATAATTATAAAAAAAAAACATATATGTTTATTAAAATAATATTTTAGTCACCAAACATATTGTTTGAAAAAATAAAAGATAATACAATTCAATTTAAGCAAAATATTAAAAAAATAAATTACAACCTACAAAACTTTACTTTTTTAAAAATTTGTATTTAACATTTTTCTTTAACATGTAAATTTGGATGCACTAGTTTTTGGACCGTTATTGTAAGTTATATTGTTAGATAAGCTCTAGATTTGGCTTTAGTACTGACCAATGTATATACACAAATATAATATTGTAAAGCTTCATATTAAAAATATAAATTTAAAAGATAGATTTGTGAGGGTGTACTTATATACGCTGAGCACTGTACCTCAAACCTTTACATTTTTAAAACAAGGCAAATTTGAATTATTATTTATCCTATACTCTGCAATAAATTATTGGTTGCTTTATCCAAAATGTGAATCCAATAACAACACATAGTCTCTGAATTTAAAAGTTCATTTAAAATATTTTTCCCCTTGCTTTGGTTTTCCCTTAATATATATATTTTTTTGTTTTAATTAAAAGCTTGACAAAGAGTTAAGTAGTTTGTAGGACAGTATACTAGTGTGTCATTCAGCATGTATATCATAAAAAGCCCATTAAATACCCAATGTTTTCCAAAACAAAATTTGTGGACAAACTTCAAACTTTTGAACAATGAAGAGATAAACTGCAATAACATTTGTCTGACAAGCATATTTTAAATACGCAAGAAAATAATAGTTATCGAAGTTTTCATTCTGCTTAGTGATAAGCGAAAGAACTGTATAGGTTTAACCGGAGTGTGGGGGAAAATACACACAGCAAAAATGCTTTTCTTAGATTTTTTTTCTTGTTTGTAGTCTGAATATCAAAATATTCTTAAATTATGAAGCATTTTCTGGACAAGCAAACCTTATTGTCTTGATTAAAGTAATACTATGGCAAAATTGGGGGATTTTTGTTTTTGTTGTGTTTGCTTAAAGCAAATTTTAAATTGAAAACAAGATACTTTTTTTTACCCCAATGGCAGATTATTTTGCTTGTTTTAAGGAAAAATTCACTTAATTTGGGCACATTATTTCTCAAATCAAGACAATATTTTTTACTTGTCTTGAAAATGCTTCTTGATTAAAGAACTAGTAGATATTTATACCAAAAACAAGACAAAACCTTAAAATAAAAAAAAGCATTTTTTGCAGTGCAAAAGCGCAATGAGCATGTTTAGTCCACCAATAAACATCATAAAACCTGTCTAATTTGGCTGTGCGTGATCTTATCTTTATTCCTTTAGGCTCGGCATCTTCAAGTTTCCTAGCAATATGAAAGCTCGGCAAATCAAGACTAAAGCTATTATTTTCTCTTTTTTCCCAGATCAAATCAATCAAAATAGCCAAAACTACAAGTGTAAATCCTTGCTCTACTTTCAGAAGTGGCTCTGAATTAATTTTTCTTAAAATTTTGATTTGCAAATAAAGTGGCGACCTCAAACAAACTGAATTATGCACAAAATTAAATAGAATACTTAAATGTATTTATAAATGATGCAAATTTATATTTATGCAAATTTAGAAATAAATGGGCAGGTTTTACACAACCTGCCCAAGTTGTTAGTCAGATTTCACATTCCTCTCTCCTCCTCCTCATGAGCCACCAATTAAAACTATTGCTCTGTCTCCTTCATAAAGTCATAAACATGAAAGACTCTAATGACTTCCCTGACCGTCCTGCTTAGTCTCGATGGACTCTCCCTCTCACTGAGGCTGATCATTGGACAAAAGAATGACCACACGAGGGAGGAGTCAGTGCCCATTTCACACTGCAGCTCGGGCAAACAGCAATCAGTGAGTAATGACAGGAACCCAGCAGGGAGGAAAGAGGAAACCCCCCAAAATGTGCAATTGGTCTGACTTTGTGGCCTTTTAGTTTCTGATGCATAAATCTGGCGCTGAAGAAAAAGGAATGGAGCATTTTGATTATGTAACATGAATGTAACTAAAACAGAAACTATAAGACTATCTGTGGGTTCCTGTGTCAGAAGTAATGTCCTTTTTAATCGACGAGAAATTATTAGGTATTCTAAACATCATTTTGTACCCTGCTCTGTCGTTATACACTTGTTCTCAGCTTAAAAAAGCCAGGAATGTTAATTTCCAAGCTCTGTCCAAGAAAAGAAAGCTTGATAATAGTGGTGACCTCATAGACACAGTGATAGCGCTCTGAAACTCTGCCCTCCCATTAGAGAGAGAAAAAGAGAAATATTCATCTGGTGATGGAAGATCTGGAAATAAAGTGCAAAGGTGCTAATGTAATGGAATAAATTAAGCTGATTGAGGAGAGCAGTGCTAACAGAAGAAAACCTCAGATTGTTTGTAAACAAAAGATGCTGCTTTACCATTCAAATGCAAGTGTTTTGAACATTCAAATGCAGAAAGGAGTGAAGGACTCCGAACTCTAATGTTCTCTAAGTTTTGGTCTGTAATGGAAGCGAAGACCATTCATGAAAATATAAAAGCCGGCTATATAAGCTCATGTTCCTCAAGCCTAATAGATCCTGTTGTGATCCTGTTCTCTTTTTGAAGAAAGAGGAAAGCCTGTATCACAATTTTCACCCAGTGACTCTCCGATATGTAAAATATGCTTTTCCTACAGTTGTAAGGACAATAAGAGATTAATAAAAGCCCTTTTCCAGAAGGATGTTGCATTAAAACCAAATGCAATAGCATATTGAAATCAATTCATGAGTGATGTTGCTTGGACAAAAGTTTGGCTTCTGCCTAATCACTCTTAACAAACAAGGTTAAAAAGTCTTTGTTTAAACTCCTGCACAGAATATATCCTGCCAAACTTTATTTAACTAAATTTTACATAGATATAGATGTGATATGCAGCTTTTTCAAACAAAGGCCAGAGAGTGCTGTTCATTTACTTTGGTATTGCTCTTATGTGTCCTTTTTTATTGGTGAAATGTAATTCACAGTATTGCTGTCAGTATTGATTACAATATTCTTTTAGGATTTTTTTAAACTCTAGAGACAAAAGACCCATACACTTTTTAGTAATTACTTTATTTTAATGACCAAATTTCATATTCATAAATGTACATTTTCAGGTAAAATTCCATGTTTTATTGCAAAAAAAAAATGATGTGAAGCATTACAGTGCTTCCGGAAAGTATTCATAGTGTTTCGCTTTTTCCACATTTTTTAATGTTGCAG